GGCCCACACACTCCACACACTGCTGACCCACCACCCACCGCTGACACTCACTCACACACTGCTGACCCACACACTCCACACACTGCTGACCCACACACTCCACACACTGCTGCCCACACACTCCACACACACTGCTGGCCCACACACTCCACACACTGCTGGCCCACACACTCCACACACTGCTGGCCCACACACTCCACACACTGCTGGCCCACACACTCCACACACTGCTGGCCCACACACTCCACACACTGCTGGCCCACACACTCCACACACTGCTGGCCCACACACTCCACACACTGCTGGCCCACACACTCCACACACTGCTGGCCCACACACTCCACACACTGCTGGCCCACACACTCCACAGGGAGCGTCAGCAACAAGACAGCCAGGCAGCCCACCTTGAGTAATCAATAAGCATAAGTTAGTGACAAGGTTATTATAGTAGTTACCAGCGCTATGTTACTGCCTTCATTCCCGCCACACACCTTACCCTAGTTATGTTAGTTAAGCTCCAGCTCTGGGCAGAGGAGGATGCAAGTGATTACCTTACTGTATTTACATAGACACTGAGATATAGCCACACTTGTGGTCACCTGTCTTCGGTAATTATCTTCCTGGTGAGTTATCTGAGTCTGTTGTTTTCTTCAACATTTTCCTGTATAACTTGAGAACATTTCCTCTGACTTGAAGTTCTCAACACAGGTGGACTGTAACTAGGCTACTGTGTCATAACTTAATACTGTTGACTATGTCTTTAGATTTATTACACTGGTGTATACTGTGTAGGAGAAACTTTAAACTGTTATTGGAATTTGGATGTGTTAATTTGATAATTTTATTGTCAGTGTTGCACATTTTCATAAAATAGCTTGAGAATGCTACTCTTGAGCAGTGTGGAATTTATAGTAGTTGATGCATCAAATATTAAGGACGATTCCCAAAAATCGTAAACAATATAGGTACAGATATGATAAGTTGCTAACATTTACGAAAGTTTTGGGAATTATTTGTTTCCATGCTATAAATAATACCATTACTGTTCGGCTTCAAACTTTTACCACCAGTGGGTTCTTTTTAAGGAAAGATGTACGTTGCCCTTGTCTAGTATTAAATGAGATGAAGGACTACCAGGGTCACACCTCTCAGTACACTTAATGTAACATACCTATGTTGGAGTGGAGGTTGTCCCTAGCTAAGAATTCACTGATAGCTACCCCTGGCTATGTTGGAGTGGCGGTTGTCCCTAGCTAAGAGTTCACTGATAGCTACCTCTGGCTGTGTTGGAGTTGAGGTTGTCCCTAGCTAAGAGTTCACTGATAGCTACCTCTGGCTCTGTTGGAGTGGAGGTTGTCCCTAGCTAAGAGTTCACTGATAGCTACCTCTGGCTCTGTTGGAGTGGAGGTTGTCCCTAGCTAAGAGTTCACTGATAGCTACCTCTGGCTCTGTTGGAGTGGAGGTTGTCCCTAGCTAAGAGTTCACTGATAGCTACCTCTGGCTATGTTGGAGTGGAGGTTGTCCCTAGCTAAGAGTTCACTGATAGCTACCTCTGGCTATGTTGGAGTGGAGGTTGTCCCTAGCTAAGAGTTCACTGATAGCTACCTCTGGCTATGTTGGAGTGGAGGTTGTCCCTAGCTAAGAGTTCACTGATAGCTACCTCTGGCTATGTTGGAGTGGAGGTTGTCCCTAGTGAGGTTGTCCCTAGCTAAGAGTTCACTGATAGCTAGCTCTGGCTCTGTTGGAGTGGAGGTTGTCCCTAGCTAAGAGTTCACTGATAGCTACCTCTGGCTATGTTGGAGTGGAGGTTGTCCCTAGCTAAGAGTTCACTGATAGCTACCTCTCTTGTTGGAGTGGAGTTGTCCCTAGCTAAGAGTTCACTGATAGCTACCTCTGGCTATGTTGGAGTGGAGGTTGTCCCTAGCTAAGAGTTCACTGATAGCTACCTCTGGCTATGTTGGAGTGGAGGTTGTCCCTAGCTAAGAGTTCACTGATAGCTACCTCTGGCTATGTTGGAGTGGAGGTTGTCCCTAGCTAAGAGTTCACTGATTAGCTACCTCTGGCTTATGTTGGAGTGGAGGTTGTCCCTAGCTAAGAGTTCACTGATAGCTACCTCTGGCTATGTTGGAGTTGAGGTTGTCCCTAGCTAAGAGTTCACTGATAGCTACCTCTGGCTATGTTGGAGTTGAGGTTGTCCTTAGCTAAGAGTTCACTGATAGCTACCTCTGGCTATGTTGGAGTTGAGGTTGTCCATAGCTAAGAGTTCACTGACAGCTACCTCTGGCTCTGTTGGAGTGAAGGTTGTCCCTAGCTAAGAGTTCACTGATAGCTACCTCTGGCTATGTTGGAGTGAAGGTTGTCCCTAGCTAGTTCACTGATAGCTACCCCTGGTTATGTTGGAGTGGAGGTTGTCCCTAGCTAAGAGTTCACTGATAGCTACCCTTGGGTAGCTTGGCCCTCAGAAGTCGTCTTCCAAACAGGCCTCATACAGAGGAGAATGGTTCTTGCAAACATCACATATTCCTGCATATAAGCCGAGCTTTATTTCCCTCAAAAGGTCTTGGAAATTCACCCTGCGCCTTACGTGCTTAAGGGTGGGATTTGTGTTAGGCTTGAACAGTTGTTTACTAACTTTACATTACAGCTACTTGGAAACATCGCGCCACATTCCGCCAACACTAGTGCGTCTTATATGCCGGAAAATACGGTACTCGAAAATCTTAGTCTGGTCTAGGATCTAAGCTGTTCTGAATCCCTTGCCTACCCTAAACTAGCAGTAGTTAAACAATTTAAATGAGATATTGCAACTGGATCAAAATCTCACTGATTGATTAAATATTGAGCTGGCAACTAATGTAATTCATTACGTTTTTTTTTTTTTTTGTACCCTGTCCTTAACCAACCCGGTCAAGTTTACTGGTGTTCTTGTTCATTAGGGACAAGAATGGCCACTCCAGTATAATGAAATGAATACACAAAGACTGTCACGTAGAGGCTCTGGCGTAGAGACCAGCAGACTCAGGCTAGAGTCTCTAGAGACCTCTACACCAGAAGTCTCTGCATGTTGACACACACCACTTTCACTCTGTCTTCTGCTTTCATGGACACATTCACTCTCAGTGGATGCATTCACTCTCAGTGGACACATTCACTCTCAGTGGACACATTCACTCTCAGTGGATACATTCACTCTCAGTGGACACATTCACTCTCAGTGGACACATTCACTCTCAGTGGATACATTCACTCTCAGTGGATGCATTCACTCTCAGTGGACACATTCACTCTCAGTGGACACATTCACTCTCAGTGGATACATTCACTCTCAGTGGATACATTCACTCTCAGTGGACACATTCACTCTCAGTGGATACATTCACTCTCAGTGGATACATTCACTCTCAGTGGAACATTCACTCTCAGTGGATACATTCACTCTCAGTGGATACATTCACTCTCAGTGGACACATTCACTCTCAGTGGATAGATTCACTCTCAGTGGATGCATTCACTCTCAGTGGACACATTCACTCTCAGTGGATACATTCACTCTCAGTGGACACATTCACTCTCAGTGGACACATTCACTCTCAGTGGACACATTCACTCTCAGTGGACACATTCACTCTGTGGACACATTCACTCTGTGGACACATTCACTCTGTGGACACATTCACTCTGTGGACACATTCACTCTGTGGACACATTCACGCTTATTCGACACATTTACTTTCAATTCACACTCGGTTGACACATTCACTCTCAGTGGACACATTCATACTCAGTGGACACATTCATGCTTAGTGGACACATTCATGCTTAGTGGACACATTCACACTCGGTGGACACATTCGATGGCCCACACATTTCATAAGAACAAAAGAAAGAAGGAACACTGCAACAGGCCTACTGACTCATGCGGAGCAGGTCCATGCCCCCCCATCCCAGGATTAACCCAATGACCCCCCCCCCCCGATTCGATGATAATTTTTTTTTTACAATTTGTGGAGAACTGGTTAGATAAGTACACTTCTTGCATGAAACATAAGACAATAGTTACTTTTAACAGCACGACTTCCAGCAGCCGCTCCCTGGAAATCCCTTCTGGATGCTGTTTCAGCGTCCATAGAGGCTGTATAGTAACAAGTGAATTAGATATACAATTTGCCCCAAAGGAGCATATATCCAGCACTTCACTATTATCTGAAATGCATAGTGGTACTCACTTGGTTTGGGCGTAAAGCCCGCAAATTAAGACCTCGAATAGGACAGCCCTAATCACCTTGTGTCTGCCCATGGATTGCAGTTCAGTTTTGGCGTTACAAGTGAGATTGAGCCATTTAATATTAAGGCCAATATTAATGACTTGACTGAAGACTGACAGTGTCTCTAGGGAATGTTGCATTAATGATCACAAACGTCGAGAATGTTCGTTGCAATCACTCGCAATACAGGTTGTACACTACGTCATTCAGTACCATCATTTGTTTATAGTCTCGTGGTATTATCCACAGCAGGGAGAAAACGGAAACACAAACACTACGTGATTAGTTTGGTAACGATGCACACACCGGAGGCCTGGTCACAGACCGGGCCGCGGGGGCGTTGACCCCCGGAACTCTCTCCAGGTAAACATCTTACAGAACAAGCATACTGCCCAACAAACTATCACAAATACAAATGTTTATTTCTCTGTAAAGATTACAATGTAGGTTTACATATTATGAAATATTGGTTACAATGTGTGTGTATATTATAATATACTAATTTTAAAGAGGGCCACTATTATGCCTAGCATGACTAGGCATTTCGGGCAGACTAATAATAATTCTAATTCTATATTGATACAGGTTATGGAGCATATTGATAGTAAAGCCACTCAGTCATACTTCCACTCCTATCTAATGAACTTTTCCCTCACAAGCCTCTGTGATGTTTCGATTTCCACCCAGAGGATAGGTATGAGGTGTATAATATAGCTCTTAAATTAACTGTTGCAGGTCCCAGACACTCCGTGATGGCCGCCTCAGCCCCCAGCACTTACACTAAGTTACCTGAGTGTCTTATGAACGGAGGACTCCACACCTCACTCACCAACATTGTTCAAAATGGACACAGCTCTATGAATGATGAAGTTCAGAATGGACACAGCTCTTTGAATGAAGTTCAAAATGGATACAGCTCTCTACAGAACTGCACTAAGACAGAAAGCAGTTTTGATGAAGGAGAAGCTATGTTAAAGTTAGTGCTGGACCTCGTGTTGAAAACCAAGCTAGTCACTGGGATGAGCACATCAGAAAAAGTGGTTAATTTCAAACATCCAAAAGAGTTGAAGGTGAGGCGTTTTGTTATGACAACCCTGGTTTACTTCCTCTCCTGTCTCTCTCTCTCTCTCTCTCTCTCTCTCTCTCTCTCTCTCCTCTCTCCCTCTCCCCTTTTTTCTTTCTATCTATATACCTATTTCAGTTTGACTGTGTATCTATATATAAAAAAAATAATTAAGATAGAAGCACTAAACTCATAAGATTCATATTCAGTGGACCCCCGGTTTTCGGCCGGTGCGGAAACCATACAATTCGGATTTCGAGCACTTTTCTCGGCGAAATTTGCCCCTACCAGACGCGTCCACCTGGGTCACTCGTACGTTTGTGACTCACTCTTGGGCACATTAAATGTCTTATATTACATTGAATGTCTTATATGTAAGAAACACATTACATAACACACAAACATGCCTCTGTTACTCATTCACTCAGTGTCCCTCTAGTCTTAACGCCATAGTAATGATAATCACTTTTGGGCACATTAAATGTCTTATTTTAGGTTAATATAGACATTCATTAATCCATCTATGATATTTCTTCAAAATTATACTATAAGAAACACATTACATTACCACATAAAAATGCAAGGGGGGAGGGTCGGTTGGAAGGTAAACATTACGTTTTCTCTGGTCCAGCTTCAGAGAAAACGTATGAATCTGCCTTGGCCCAGTAACCACCCCTAATAGTACATAAGGCTTTTGTTTACAATTCTCGGCATGAATTATTACTTTTTCCCTTTGTTTATGATGGCATCTAAAGGTAGTTGATAGAAACGATTAAACTCAGTGAACATGGTATGTTGATGGTAATAATATGGCTGTAGGCTGCAGTGTATGTAGTCGGTAGATATACACCTGGGATGTAGTCCCTCTGGAACTACAAATAAATACTACTCACAATAAAGGTAAGTAAAGTTCATTTATCATAAAAATTAGTCATTTATATTTATTTATAATTTTTTCTGTATGTATAACTATAGTTGTTTTCTATACGATGTATTTTTTGTTAATATTTTTGGGTGTCCGAAACGGATTGATTGGATTTACATTATTTCTTATGGGAAATATTCGGTTTTCGGCCATTTCGGATTTAGGTCAACCTTCTGGAACGGATTAATTATAAAAACCGGGGGTCTACTGTGTATACTGAGGAATCAGACGTGTTCAAATCTGGTACGAGGAAGGGGAGAGTAAGTCCAGTTCACTGGATCAAGAGCACTTCATGTGTTTCAGTAAATCTTCATGATAACTAACCAGTAATAAACATGTTATGTCTCCACCTTCCTCAGTCTGTTACTCTTCACAAACTTGGTATAATATCACCTGTATATTTAGGTAACTAACCAAGGAGAAACATGTTTTGTACCTGATTTGTGGTAAATTACCAGTGTACTGTGACAGCACGTTTTCTGGCAACACTGTTCATATCCTGTACCACTCCTGTTTATACACATTGACACTACGATACTCTGATTATATCCAGATTTGTCTCTAATCATTAAAATATTATTTTGCATTTTGCAGGAATATAACCCCTTATAAATGTTTCCTTGTACCCGAGTTAGCATCAGATGTAGTGTAAAACTTGTGTGGCAACACTGAGTACATTACACTGATGGACTCAGTATGAAGTGTAAGTGACAACATCCTCTGATGTCAGGTGGTGCTGAGGCAACTTGCTCGCCACACAGTCAGTGGGACACCAGTTTGCTATATAATATTCCTCCATTGTAATATGTTGTACGAATTCTTATGCATTCATTATATCACATTGTATAAATAGCCGAAGTGGACTTCAGTTGTTAGCTGAGATATGCAGTATTTTACCTTCTGTCATAGCTTCTCCATGTTTGCCTGTTTCACCGACAAGTGTGTATTGCACTTGTGTGTTTGGATATACCTAGCTTGTTAACGTGTGTGTCAGGAAGTGCTGCTGGTTGGGGTGGAGAGGAGCGGATGTTCCCTGGAGGAGGTGGAGGAAGTCCTGCAGCAGGTAGTGCACTACAGTGTCAAGACACAACACCCATACTTCTACAATCAGCTCTATGGTGGCATCGATGAGGTGGCCCTGGCCGGGGCTTGGGTCACAGAGGCACTTAACACCAACCAGTAAGTCAAAATTCGTAAAAATACCTCATTTCTTAATTATATCCAATAAAATAAACTTGTCTCATGTACTAAAACTTTTCCGAGAGTCAAAAAAAAGCCAGCAGCATCAACCCGTGACTGGAACAATACACTGTAACCCGTACATAGACTGAACCTTAGCACAATATTTTGGTGCTATTTAGAGCATTAACTAGTCTCACAGAGGCACAAAGGGAAGGGAACCAGGATATACATAAGAGGGGTGGGGACGGGATTGGTGTAACGAGAGGGATAAGTATTGAAGTGGTAGTAGTAGCGGCGGTAATAGTGGTGGAAGTGGTAGTAATATTAATAGAAAAAAAAAGTCATGTAAGTGGTAGCAGTAGAAAAAAAAGTGCAACAATGATAGAAGCTGCATTAAGAAGGCACTTTTTCTGCTACTACTAGCACTTCCACCACTACTTCTGTCATTACTACTACCGGTTTAATACTTTTAACTCTCTGGTTACACTACTACCGTCCCTGCCCACCTCACCTATATATTCTGGCTCCATTCCCTTGCGCTTCTGTGAGATATTAATGGTCTAAGTCAGACTAAAACGTTGTCTCAAGTTTCAGTCTCCAATGTACGTATATACATGTAGTGGGAGGGTTGAAGATGGTTGGAATAGCTTTAAAAATGCCGTATTAGAATGTGGGGCAAAAGTTTGTGGTTATAGAAGGGCGGGTGCAGGAGGAAAGAGGAGCGATTGATGGAATGATGAAGTAAAGGGTGTGATAAAAGAGAAAAAGGTAGCTTATGAGAGGTTTTTACAAAGCATAAGTGTTATAAGAGGAGTAGAGTATATGGAGAGTAAAAGAAAGGTGAAGAGAGTGGTGAGAGAGTGCAAAAGGAGAGCAGATGATAGTGGGAATGACACTGTCAAGAAATTTTAATGAAAAAAAAAATGAGTGAGTTAAACAAGTTAAGAAAGCCTAGGAAACGAATGGATTTGTCAGCTAAAAACAGAGTAGGGGAGTTAGTAGATGGAGAAATAGAGGTATTGGGTAAATGGCGGGAATATTTTGAGGAAATTTTGAATGTCGATGAAAATGAGGCGGTAATTTCATGCACTGGTCAGGGAGGTATACCATCTTTTAGGAGTGAAGAAGAGCAGAATGTAAGTGTGGTGGAGGTACGTGAGGCATTACGTAAAATGAAATGGGGGTAAAGCAGCTGGAACTGATGGGATCATGACAGAAATGTTAAAAGCAGGGGGGATATAGTGGTTGGTATTTTTGTTTAATAAATGTATGAAAGAGGGGAAGGTACTTAGGGATTGGCAGGGAGCATGTATAGTTTCTTCATATAAAGGGAAGGGGGACAAAAGAGATTGTAAAAATTATAGAGGAATAAGTTTACTGAGTATACCAGGAAAAGTGTACAGTAGGGTTATTACTGAAAGAATTAGAGGTAAGACAGAATGTAGGATTGCGGATGAGCAAGGATGTTTCAGAGTGGGTAGGGGATGTGTAGATCAAGTGTTTACATTGAAGCATATATGTGAACAGTCATTGCATTTATGAAGTTAGAAAAGGCATATGATAGAGTGGATAGGGGAGCAATGTGGCAGATGTTGCAAGTATATGGAATAGGTGGTAAGTTACTAAATGCTGTAAAGTGTTTTTATGAGGATAGTGAGGCTCAAGTTAGGGTGTGTAGAAGAGAGGGAGACTACTTCCCGGTAAAAGTAGGTCTTAGACAGGGATGTGTAATGTCACCATGGTTGTTTAATATATTTATAGATGGGGTTATAAAAGAAGTAAATGCTAGGGAGTTCGGGAGAGGGGTGGGATTAAATTATGGGGAATCAAATACAAAATGGGAATTAACAGTTACTTTTTTCTGATGATACTGTGCTTTTGGGATATTCTAAAGAAAAATTGCAGAGGTTAGTGAACGAGTTTGGGAGTGTGTAAAGGTAGAAAGTTGAAAGTGAACATAGAAAAGAGTAAGGTGATGAGGGTATCAAATTATTTAGATAAAGAAAAATTGAATATCAAATTGGAGAGGAGGAGTATGGAAGAAGTGAATGTTTTCAGATATTTGGGAGCTGACATGTCAGCAGATGAATTTATGAAGGATGAGGTTAATCATAGAATTGATGAAGGAAAAAAAGGTGAGTGGTGGGTTGAGGTATATGTGGAGACAAAAAACGCTATCTGTGGAGGCAAAGAAAGGAATGTATGAAAGTATAGTGGTACCAACACTCTTACATGGGTGTGAAGCTTGGGTTGTGAATGCTGCAGCAAGGAGACTGTTGGAGGCAGTGGAAATGTCCTGTCTAAGGGCAATGTGTGGTGTGAATATTATGCAGAAAATTCGGAGTGTGGAAATTAGGAGAAGGTGTGGAGTTAATAAAAGTATTAGAGGAGCTGAAGAGGGGTTGTTGAGGTGGTTTGGTCATTTAGAGAGAATGGCTCAAAGTAGAATGACATGGAGAGCCTATGAATCTGTAAGGGAAGAAAGGCGGGGTAGGGGTCATCCTCGGAAAGGTTGGAGGGAGGGGGGGTAAAGGAGGTTTTGTGGGCGAGGGACTTGGACTTCCAGCAAGCGTGCATGAGCGTGTTAGGAGTGAATGGAGACGAATGGTATTTGGGACCTGACGATCTGTTGGAGTGTGAGCAGGGTAATATTTCAGTGAAGGGATTCAGGGAAACCGGTTATTTTTATATAGCCGAACTTTAGTCCTGGAAATGGGAAGTACAATGCCTGCACTTTAAAGGAGGAGTTCGGGATATTGGCAGTTTGGAGGGATATGTTGTGTATCTTTATACGTATATGCTTCTAAACTGTTGTGTTCTGAGCACCTCTGCAAAAACAGTGATTATGTGTGAGTGTGGTGAAAGTGTTGAATGATGAAAGTATTTTCTTTTTGGGGATTTTCTTTCTGTTTGGATCACCCTGCCTCGGTGGGAGGCGGTCGACTTGTCAAATATTATATACTTTATAATATATATATATATTATATATATATATATATATATATATATATATATATATATATGCAAAACAACCACTCTGAAAGAATAGAGAAATTCCAAGCGCTTTCGTGACTACTCACATTATCAAGGAACTATGAAAGTAAAGCATCCAAGGAAGCTATATAAGGGGTCTGGCCAGCACCTCACTATCAGATCCCACAACGGTAGTGAGGTGTTGGCCAGACCCCTTATATAGCTTCCTTGGATGCTTTACTTTCATAGTTCCTTGATAATGTGAGTAGTCACGAAAGCGCTTGGAATTTCTCTATTCTTTCAGAGTGGTTGTTTTGCATATTCTGAAATCACCTGTTTACTGTGATCTTATTGCAATTATATATATATATATATATATATATATATATATATATATATATATATATATATATATATATATATATATATATATATATTAATATATATGTTGTATATTACGAAAAAAATAATTCATCATTGATTTTAAGTAAAAGTAAATAATTTTAAATTACTTGTGATATACTGCCAGTGTCCACTAAAACGCTCCCTGATTTCAATCAAGTATAATATGTAACTTTATTGTAATAATCTTTAACAGTTAGTAGCTTCAGATGCAGGATTTCTTTCAGTTTCATGTGGTACACGGTAGCATTCAATGAATTCCAATCTAGTTGACTTAAATTAATCTCCTATAATTACTAAGTTATCGTGCCTTGTGGCCTGAACAATTTCCTCCTACAGTAGTCTCCCTTCGTCCTTATTCAAGCTAGAGGGACGGTAAATCACGCCTACAATTAATTTTTCTCGCCTTTCCGAAAATTCTACCCAGACAGACTCAGTTTGTGTTTTCAGTTTTAATAAATTACGTACACTTATGCAGCAGTATAAGTATTCCCTGATATGTCGCCACCCCGCCCCTCTGTTTTTCATATCACACCACGTCTCAGTTATGGCAAATACGTCAATGTTACACGCACTTGCAACTAATCTCAACTCTTCCATCTTATTTCTAGTGCTGTGACTATTTGTATATGTTTAGAAATCCTCTCTTCTCATTCCTTCTCCTTCACTATCCTTATTACTGTCCTTATTACCTAGTGTCATTGGCTTTCCAATATTTATCAGTAACTCTACCTCATTCTGCCTATAGGTGGTTTCCCAGAAACTAATATCACTGCACAGAGAATTCATCTTGCCCATTTCTATTGTATCATAGTTCACTGACTTCCCACAAAAACCCATACCACTGTTTCTAGTTTAAAACCCTAACGGCTCCCTCCACCGCACTGGAACTTGCCATTGCGGTGGAAGGAGGATGTGGAGGGATGGAGGATGAGGTTCACAGCCAGGGGCTGAGAACTCCAACCCTGACATATATGTCATTTCTGCCATTGATGTCCCACATGATATATCATAATTTACACTTGGAAAATCTTGGAAGGAATGGTCCCCAAATCTGCACACAGAAATCACTCCCTACGAAAGTAAAAGACTGGGCAGGCAATGCAAAATGCCCCCAATAAAAAGTAGGGGCGCCATTGGTACACTAAGGGAAAGCACCATAAGTGTCCGGGGCCCAAAACTGTTCAACAGCCTCCCATCAAGCATTAGGGGAATTGCCAATAAACCCCTGGCTGCCTTCAAGAGAGAGCTGGACAGATACCTAAAGTCAGTGCCGGATCAGCCGGGCTGTGGCTCGTACGTTGGACTGCGTGCGGCCAGCAGTAACAGCCTAGTTGATCAGGCCCTGATCCATCGGGAGGCCTGGTCATGGACCGGGCTGCGGGGGCGTTGATCCCCGGAATAACCTCCAGGTAACCTCCAGGTAACATGTATATGAATGTCACTGCATTTTCAATAGTGTTTGTCCAGCTAATAATTAACACCAGTTACCCTGGACAACCATTCATTTCCAACTCCACTCCATGGTAAAATGCCACATACCGCAGGCTGATCTCCCTTCTTCCTAATTATGTCTATTACTGACCTGTACCTGCTAATCAGGTCATCACTCCTACGTCTACCAACATCGTTGCCTCCAGCATTGAGACAGATAATAGGATTGCTCCCATTACCTCTCTTGATGTAGTCCAGACGACTAACAATATCCTCCATTCTGGCCTCAGGAAAACACACCCTCTGCTTCCTCTTCCTATCTCAAAGACAAAACGCCCTATCCATAAACTTAACCTGACTGTCCCCAACTAAAACAATGTTCTTACCTTGACTGGCGATGTTCATGAAGTTCTCGACGGTCTTTGTAGAGTTGGTCTTCGCTGGGATGTTTTCACTGGCTGGCTTCGCTGTGTCGTTAACAGTGATCCTTGTTAGAATTATCTTCATTGAAAGGTCTTGGATAGTCGATTCACATTCGCCTGATAACGAGGAAAAAAGAGTTTCTAGTTTTCACAGCAGTCTCTTGGACCTTCTTCAGCTTCGTCCCTTCGCTTCCAACTAGCATCCAATCGTTGGTCCGATCATCGACGACGTTGTTCCGGGAATAATCCTCGCACATACCCTTCAGTCGTTGAATTTCTCTTATTTCTTCCGTTAAATCTGCCTTAAGCTGAAGATATAGCTGATCATAGTCAAGGAAAGCCATCATCACAATCTCAGGTAGCTAAGAACGGAGAACACACTAGTCACGTCTTGACAGGAGCAAGGTCCACTTCTTCACAAGAGCTCGTAATGTTAGCACTAGCTAGTAATGTTAATACGATCTAGTAATGTTAATACGAGCTAGTTATATTACAACTTTGACTGTGTTTACTCCCCAGGTATACGTATGAGGTGGCTCCTGTGTTTATACTGGTGGAAGACTATGTTATCTCTCAGCTGACCAACATTTTTGGCTATTCCAACGGGGATGGAATCTTTGCTCCTGGTAAGTTAGCTCTCTCTCCCCCAATCGTAAAAAAAAAATCATAATTATAGCTGTAATAGTAGCTAAATTTGGTGAAAAAGAGAGAGAGTCGCAGAAACTGTATTGAGACCTTTCGCCTGTGGACAGCGTTGGCTTGTGGATAGGCTCCTGTCAGAAGCTTGTCTACTATCATAACGTCTTAATGAAATTGCTGTCTGCAACTATTATTTTTTCACCACTTGTTGGCGTTGTGCCATTTGTCTCAGTACCTGAACTTGTCACTCCTTAGTGTTAGGTAGTCAGAACATATTTTATACTGATATAATTATTAAATGATGATAGATCAATTACTCTCAAGTGCTGTGTTGTTAGCACCGTGTTGTGTCAGAGGTGTTATCAGGACTGTGTTGTGTCGGAAGTAATTGTTATTATGACTGTGTTGTCTTAGAAGTGTTGTTAAGACTGTGCTGTGTTGTGTTGACAGTAAGTGTTGAGGTGCTGGTACTTGCAGGTGGGAGCATGAGTAACATGTACGCCATGGTTATGGCTCGCTACAAGAAGTATCCAGACGTTAAGAGGACTGGAGTGTTTGGTCTCAAGCCTCTCGTGGCTTTCTCTTCAGACCAGGTGCGAGTTGTCCTTTCTCATGCATGTCGCATTTATCATACATTATTATTAAATTCACGGGCGAGCGCTAAATCCGTAGCGACTACAGCGCTCAGGGAATGGGAGGTAATCAAGTTTGGTCCGAGGAAGAGGAGGGATAGCTCTGATTCCCTGGATCAAAAGCCTTTCGCCAGCATCTATGCTCTCCTTTTTGAAAGGAAGATGACTGAAGTAAATGCTCTGAGCACCTCGCAAAACTTCCTGGTTAAGCAGGAATTGAAAAATTTTGGGGCCAGGCCTACTGCAGTGCTCATTATTATATTATAACATAATTATAAAACAAATAAAATGAACGCATATTTCTCTCCAGGGTCACTATTCAGTGAGCAAGAGTGCGTCATGGCTGGGACTTGGGATGGACAACGTAGTGAGTGTTGCTTCAGACAGTGAGGGCAGGATGAAGCCAGAAGCACTGGTGGAGGCTGTGGCTCGGGCCAGAGCCAGGGGTTGTGAGCCATTCTTCGTCAACGCTACAGCTGGTACCACCGTCCTGGGAGCCTACGATCCTTTCCACCAGCTGGCTGACGTGTGTGCTCAGGAGGACCTCTGGCTCAATGTTGATGTTAGTACGTGATGTATGCAAGTTACAATATCTTAGCTGCGATGTGCCACAATATCGTAGTTGCAACACTCCGTAACACAGTACCGTGCCAGCAGCATACCACAACACAGTACCGTGCCAGCAGCATACCACAACACCGTACCGTAGCTGCAACACTCCATAACACAGTACCGTGCCAGCAATATACCACAACACAGCACCGTAGCTGCAACACTCCATAACACAGTACCGTAGCTGCAACCCTCCATAACATAGTACCGTGACAGCAACATACCACAAGACAGTACCGTGCCAGCAGCATACCACAAGACAGTACCGTGCCAACAACATACCACAAGACAGTACCGTGCCAGCAACATACAACACAGTACCGTAGCTGCAACATACCGCAACACAGTACCGTAGCTGAAACATACCACAACACAGTACCGTAGCTGCAACATACCACAACATAGTACCGTAGCTGCAACATACCACAACACTACCGTAGCAGCAACATACCACAAAACTGTACCGTAGCTGCAACATACCACAACACAGTACCGTAGCTGCAACATACCACAACACAGTACCGTAGCTGCAACATACCACAACACAGTACCGTAGCTGCAACATACCACAACACAGTACCGTAGCTGCAACATACCACAACACAGTACCGTAGCTGCAACATACCACAACACAGTACCGTAGCTGCAACATACCACAACACAGTACCGTAGCTGCAACATACCACAACACAGTACCGTAGCTGCAACATACCACAACACAGTACCGTAGCTGCAACATACCACAACACAGTACCGTAGCAGCAACATACCACAACACAGTACCGTAGCTGCAACATACCACAACACAGTACCGTAGCTGCAACATACCACAACACAGTACCGTAGCTGCAACATACCACAACACAGTACCGTAGCTGCAACATACCACAACACAGTACCGTAGCAGCAACATACCACAACACAGTACCGTAGCAGCAACATACCACAACACAGTACCGTAGCGCAACATACCACAACACAGTACCGTAGCAGCAACATACCACAACACAGTACCGTAGCAGCAACATACCACAACACTGTACCGTAGCTGCAACATACCACAACACAGTACCGTAGCTGCAACATACCACAACACAGTACCGTAGCTGCAACATACCACAACACAGTACCGTAGCAGCAACATACCACAACACAGTACCGTAGCAGCAACATACCACAACACAGTACCGTAGCTGCAACATACCACAACACAGTACCGTAGCTAGCAACATACCACAACACAGTACCGTAGCAGCAACATACCACAACACAGTACCGTAGCTGCAACATACCACAACACAGTACCGTAGCGCAACATACCACAACACAGTACCGTAGCAGCAACATACCACAACACAGTACCGTAGCTGCAACATACCACAACACAGTACCGTAGCTGCAACATACCACAACACAGTACCGTAGCTGCAACATACCACAACACAGTACCGTAGCAGCAACATACCACAACACAGTACCGTAGCAGCAACATACCACAACACAGTACCGTAGCTGCAACATACCACAACACAGTACCGTAGCTGCAACATACCACAACACAGTACCGTAGCTGCAACATACCACAACACAGTACCGTAGCTGCAACATACCACAACACAGTACCGTAGCTGCAACATACCACAACACAGTACCGTAGCTGCAACATACCACAACACAGTACCGTAGCTGCAACATACCACAACACAGTACCGTAGCAGCAACATACCACAACACAGTACCGTAGCTGCAACATACCACAACACAGTACCGTAGCTGCAACATACCACAACACAGTACCGTAGCTGCAACATACCACAACACAGTACCGTAGCTGCAACATACCACAACACAGTACCGTAGCAGCAACATACCACAACACAGTACCGTAGCAGCAACATACCACAACACAGTACCGTAGCTGCAACATACCACAACACAGTACCGTAGCAGCAACATACCACAACACAGTACCGTAGCAGCAACATACCACAACACAGTACCGTAGCAGCAACATACCACAACACTGTACCGTAGCTGCAACATACCACAACACAGTACCGTAGCTGCAACATACCACAACACAGTACCGTAGCTGCAACATACCACAACACAGTACCGTAGCAGCAACATACCACAACACAGTACCGTAGCAGCAACATACCACAACACAGTACCGTAGCTGCAACATACCACAACACAGTACCGTAGCAGCAACATACCACAACACAGTACCGTAGCAGCAACATACCACAACACAGTACCGTAGCTGCAACATACCACAACACAGTACCGTAGCAGCAACATACCACAACACAGTACCGTAGCAGCAACATACCACAACACAGTACCGTAGCAGCAACATACCACAACACAGTACCGTAGCTGCAACATACCACAACACAGTACCGTAGCAGCAACATACCACAACACAGTACCGTAGCAGCAACATACCACAACACAGTACCGTAGCTGCAACATACCACAACACAGTACCGTAGCTGCAACATACCACAACACAGTACCGTAGCTGCAACATACCACAACACAGTACCGTAGCAGCAACATACCACAACACAGTACCGTAGCAGCAACATACCACAACACAGTACCGTAGCAGCAACATACCACAACACAGTACCGTAGCAGCAACATACCACAGACCGACCATCAGCTAAAACATCTTTTGGTTGATGGTCGACCATACAATAGATTTAAATTTTGCCAACGAAGCTGCTGGTTTATTGTGCACCCCATTTCTGGTTTATTGTGCACCCCATATCTGGTTTATTGTGCACCCCATATCTGGTTTATTGTGCACCCCATTTCTGGTTTATTGTGCACCCCATGTCTGGTTTATTGTGCACCCCATATCTGGTTTATTGTGCACCCCGTATCTGGTTTATTGTGCACCCCCATATCTGGTTTACTGTGCACCCCATATCTGGTTTATTGTGCACCTCATATCTGGTTTATTGTGCATCCCCATATCTGGTTTATTGTGCACTCCATATCTGGTTTATTGTGCACCCCATATCTGGTTTATTGTGCACCTCATATACATCCTGTGGAGGGTAGCACAAGAGCATATGGATACACAAAAGGTCTAGGAACTAGGCCCCAAAAGGGTTAACAGGAGTACATCTGGATTTACATGTACAGTTCACTTATCTGTTTGTTACAAGCACATTTAGGAAATTATCTTAATATATCTCGTATCTTATTTTCATTAATAAGATATCTTGACATATCATATATGTTATTATGCTGTCTATCCCTTCTTCTTGAGCAGTTGCTGTTATAAGTGATCTAAGGAAGGTATTACTAGTGATGAGATTCTTGGGAGGGGCTTGGAGGTTTGTGGGGTTGTAGCCAGCAACATTAGCAACATAGTTGGGGTTGTAGCCAGCAACATTAGCAACATAGTTGGGGTTGTAGCCAGCAACATTGGCAACATAGTTGGGGTTGTAGCCAGCAACATTAGCAACATAGTTGGGGTTGTAGCCAGCAACATTAGCAACATAGTTGGGGTTGTAGCCAGCAACATTAACAACATAGTTGGGGTTGTAGCCAGCAACATTAGCAACATAGTTGGGGTTGTAGCCAGCAACATTGGCAACATAGTTGGGGTTGTAGCCAGCAACATTAGCAACATAGTTGGGGTTGTAGCCAGCAACATTGGCAACATAGTTGGGGTTGTAGCCAGCAACATTAGCAACATAGTTGGGGTTGTAGCCAGCAACAGCTTTGAGAGCATTTAGCTTACCTTTGCAGTTCTTATTTAGTCGCGGTATAGTGGACTTATAGAAGGGTACGTCTACACCAGAATATCTAAGATTTAAGGTAGCTGATGTTTTCACCCTGGAAACTAATGGGTGGGTCATGTCGTTTGCTTGTCACTCTTCGTTTTAGATGTAATTATGATAAGACCTAATCAATTACATATTTCTTGGACTTCATTAAGAATGGTACTCATCTTCATAAGCCCCGTTGCATGGATCATGATGTCATCAGCACAGCTTATAGGTATATGCTTAAGTGATGCAGGTAGAGCATTAAGGAGAGCATTAATCAGAACATTAAACAACATGGGGCTAAGAACTCCTCCCTGTGGTATACCTAGTGATATTTTTTTTATAAAGCCATAGGAGAGAACAGAGGATACTACTATATTTGACAAGTATCCTATTATCCAGCTGAGTAGGCTACCACCAATATTCATTTTGCGTAGTTCATGTAGTCTAATGGTTCTGTTTGCAATATCAAATGCAGATTTTAGAACAAGGAATGTGGTAAAAGTAATAGAGGCCTGTGCAATGAGAAAGGTGGAAATACAATTCTGCACATTTTTCCCTTTCATTGACCCGTAGAGATGAGGGAAAAGTTGGGGTCTGATTTTGTAGTACATTTAAGAATCATTTCAAAAGTTTTACAGAGACAGCTAGTTAGTAGATCGGTTTAAATGTAACAGACTGTCGGGGTTTAGGGATAGGCACAATGAGACTATTGGTCCAGGGAATAGGAAGAACTCCCTCAATGTAACTGAGGTTATACAGTGCTAACAAAGGGTTATCAGGGACCTACTTTAGAGCTCAGATAATATCATAAGTTATACCATCCTCTCCAGGAGAAGTTGATCTAATTTATGTAGATGAATGGTTCAGAGAACCGACAAGTTGATAAATTAGACCAATTTGGGTTACAGTGTACACACACTTAAGAGCAAATAACATAGTTTGTTCCCTTTTATTTTCATAAACTTTTACTCTAAGAATTTCCCGGCACAATCCTAGGCAATGTTTGCAACCAAGAATCATTGGCTTCTCTCTCACACACTGTCTGAAACTGAATCGAAGTTGATGTACTTGTGAGATCGTCTTTGTGATCGAAGTCACCATTCTGACTACCTATATTTATAAAGTTTATCAGTATCTTTCCTAGGTAGTAGGTTGG